TGGCCTGAAAGAGACTGGAGAAACCCCGAGAGTATGGCCCCCAGACACCCTTTTAGCTCAGTGGTGAACTCACTTCCAAGGTTTACCATTCAGCCAGGGACTGGACAGCCCCATAAAGCAAAACAGAACTAAAGGAGCACACCAGCCCAGGGGCAAGGACTAGAAGGCAGGAGGGAACCCAAGGTCAAGAAGGTAGAGGGCTGACATGTCGTGGGACTGAACCAATGTGACAAAACAATATGTGTACTGACTGTTTAATGAGAAGCTAGTTGGTTCTGTAAACTAAATTAAAAAAAAATTAAAAAAAAAAAAGCAAGTGATAAGGGATGCAGAAAGAGACACATTTTATAAAGCAAATACAAGAAAAGCATTTTATAAATACAAACGTCTCATTAAAAATGAACTATAACAATGCTTTACATTGAAAATTTACTTTTCAATTTTAAAAAATTCTCCACATTTCATCAAATGAAGAAGAGTGTCAGTAGAATCCTATTTAATATTTTCCTTGAGAAGTGGTCAGTATCCTTCCTAATTTTGACTCAAACCGTGCCAAATGTACTCTCCACATAAGCAAGTCCAATCCCAACAAGACCAATTGTGCTTTCTCATGATATGGTCAGAACTATCAGGTTAGCTGTGGTTTAAGATGGGGTGGATCAGAGAAGCTCATTGGAGAGTAGCAGGTGTATGGGTGGGTAGGAACCAACTATAATTTAAAAAAATGTGTAGTCTAATATACAGCAGAATGCATAATCCAGAATGATGCCATTGGTTACGGTTCCGACAAACAGTTGTTATCACGTGGTTGAACCAGAGACAACAGGGTACCCCATCCAGCCCATGAGCAGATAATGAGCAGGAAAGAGTCAACACAACACACTCTGTCAGTAGGTAATGGCTCCCCATCCCCTGTCAAGTCTGAGTTTCAGATATAACCAGAATAGGGGGGACCTGGCAAAGAGGAGACTGGCCTGGGTAGATATGAAAACTAGAGAAGATAGTCAGGACTTGTTCCTAATAAAAAGGCAGAGGCCAGGTCCCTAGGATTATCAAACAAAACCTGAACCAGTAAAGCTGCAGAGTTGGCTTGATGCTGACTCACTTGAGCTTTGCATGATACCTTGGTTTCCTAGGACTGCCAAAACAAAATACCACGAAGTGGGTGGCTTTAAAGAACAGAAATTTACTGTCTCACAGTTCTAGAGGGTACAAGTCTGAAATTCAAGGTGTCAGCAGGGCTACACTCCCTCTGTCAGCTCTAGGGGATGATTCTTCTTTGTCTCTTTCAGTTTCTGGTAGTCCCGCAGCATTTTCTGGCATTCCTTGGCTTATAGAGTGATCCACATGTGGTGCCTTCCACCTGTGTGACTCTGTTTTCATGTATGCCCTTCTTTTTTATAAAACACAACTCAGAAGAGATTAGGATTAGGCTCCACCACACCCCAGTATGCTGCATTAACTTAGAACATCTAGAAAGAAAAACCCTATTTCCCCAAACGAGGTCACATTTGCTGTAAGAGGGGTTAGAACTTCAACCTATCTTTTGGGGGGACACAATTCGATCCATAAAAATAAATAAATAAATAAATAAAGTGACAAGAGCTGAGAAATTTTCCAGAACTGATGAAAAATACCAAACCACAGCTTCAAGAAGTCTAACAAACCCCAAGCCAAGTAAATAAAGGCAGATTCATATTTAGATATATCACAGTGAACTGCAGAAAATCAAGACAAAAATAAAATCTTAAAAACGAGCACTTACCATGTAAAAGCGGTAGTGGTAGAGGTGGTAACATAGAGTGCAGGAGAATACTTTAAAAGGGCTCTGACCATTTGAATTCACGAACTCATGTAAACTTACGTAAACTCTGCTTTATTCCAAAAAGGATTCAAGTAAGCTTACTAAGATTTATATAATTAAACCCAATGAAATAAATTTTAAATGAGAAAAGCAAAGCAAAGGGAAATAAAAGTATGCTGGTTTTCAATACTAAGATTCATTTCCAAAATGCCTGCTATAAATTCCTATTCACTTGCTATAGGGGAACCACAAATTTGGCTTCCAGCATTGTAGCACCTATACAAAGAGGCAATTACAAGACTTTCAGTCAACATCAACCAGTTATTCAGAGAAAACAATTATTCTAAAGAAGAGGAACAATTAGAAATGATAATAAATAACATCTGCAACATCTTCTTACAGTAAAAACAGTGCCACATTTTACAGGACCAAAGAGTAATTCAGCAAAATCAACTTTATGAGGCAGACCAAAGAATGGCAATATGATGCATTCCAAGGGTGTGGCTCAATTCAGGAAGAAGGTTTTTGAGGAATGGATGGCCTGCATATGCTCCAGAAAATCTTTAATACGTAAGTATTTGTCTCCATCAAGCTTCTAAAGGCAGTGACTTTAAGATCTTTTCCCTACAAGTACCTGGGTGCAGCTATTCTGTGTGGGTAGTTCACTACAGAGCCATATGCTAAACTATCAGTTGAGCTGGGGCAGGATTACAGGCCCTCATGAAAACTAAGGAGTCAGTCAAGGATACCTGCTTGAATAGAAAGTCAATCCATTCTAAGTGAAAGGAGTGAGGTCCAGCATGCCCCTTAACCAGTCTCATTACTCAACAAAGAAGATGACACAGGTCTACATTCTAGGAGTGGCAATGCAATTGAAAAGAAGATTTAGCTCAGAGTTACGGTGAAAGAAAAATAAAGACTTGGTATGATTGATTAGATTGGGGGGAAAGGAGTTAAAAATGCCCACAAGGTTTTAAACAAGGGAGAACAGAAGTACCGTAATAGAAAAATTGGACAGACAAGTTTTGAAAGAAACAGAACAGTTTGGTTTTAAACAAAATGTTTGATTTTGAATATCTGCATGGATATTTCTAGACGGTGCATGACTAAAGTTCAAGAAAGAGGTTAGGGAGAGGGCTAGAGATCTGTACGTGGAGAGAATCGTTGAAGTCACTGAATAGCTCTTATTTCCAAACTACCAAAATCCTTTTCCTCAAAGCTCTGCTCAAATGCAATCAAAAGAACTGGATTTCACAACAAGATGTACCATCTGAAGGAAGGATACAAACAGTAGGTTGTATTTGAAAGTGATCCAATGCACAGAGAGAGCATCCAACATAGCCACACACAGTCTGACGCAGAAAGATCAACGTGCAGCTCTTTATCCTGTCACTAGAAGTCAGGAAAGAATTAGACTGTATGGCTTACAGACAGAGAATGACACAATTTGTCTCCCAAGTAAATACTATCTAATCTCCAGTTTACAGTTAGGGATGAACAAACAATGAGTTTACAGGATCAGAATTGTCTAAGAATAATTACTGAAATTAGTTCACTGGGATTTATTAAGTAAGTTTGAAGTTTTATATAAGAAGAGATTGTTTTTAAAAAATGTTTAAAGAAGTTGGGGGGTGGGGAGGGTATTCCCTAAGAATGTATAAGCCTTCCTAGGGACGAGGTCCCTGGGTGGCAGAGTTTGCACTAGGCTATTCACCTAAAAGTTGCCAGTTTGAACCCACCCAGCAGCACCCTGAAAAAAAGCCTGGTGATCTGCTTCCATAAAGATTACAGCCAAGAAAATCCTATGGAGCAGTTCTACTCTGTAACGCACAGGATTGCCGTGGGTCGGAATCAACTTAACGGCAATGGGTTTATCGGGGTGAAGACATATCTTTGTGTCTTTGAACAACTAAAGTCAACCTTCAAATGCTGTTAGAGGTAGGAAGAGCACAGCAGTTTCTTCCTCAAAAGACAGAGATGATTAGGTATACTCAAAAGGGCTCCTAACTTCTAGAAAGAAGAGGCAAGAGTATGAGAGATCCAGTCCTCAGATACACAGTCAGAAAGGAGTTAAATATAGGGACCGTAGTAGCTTACTGTGGGAGAAAGATGTGGCAGTCTGCTTCTGTAAATATTCACAGCCTTGGAAACCCTATGGGGCAGTTCTACTCTGTCCTATAGGGTTGCTATGAGTCAGAATCAACTCCATGGCAGTGGATTTGGTTTGGTAGTAGCTTAAAAATGATGAAAGAAGTCTAGCTCAATTGGCATAACACAGTTTATAAAGGCAATGTTCTACATTCTACCTTGGTGAGTAGTGTCTGGGGTCTTAAAAGCCTGTGAGCAGCCATCTAAGATACTCCAGTGGTCTCATCCCTTCGGGAGCAAGGGAGTGTGAAGAGAACAGGATACAAGGGAAAGATAAGTCTGAAGGACTAATGGACCACAGCTACCGAGGCCTCCACCAGACTGAGTCCAGTACAGCTAGATGGTGCCCGGCTACCACCACTGACTGCTCTGACCAGGATCACAACAGAGGGTTCTGGACAGAGCTGGAGAAAGATGTACAACAAAATTCTAACTCACAAAAAAAGGACCAGATTTACTGGCCTAAAGGAGACGGGAGAAACCCCGAGAGTATGGCCCCCAGGCACCCTTTTAGCTCAGTGGTGAAGTCACTTCCAAGGTTCACTGTTCAGCTGGGGAGTGGACAGCCCCATAAAACCAAATGGGACTAATGAGGCACAGCAGTCCAGGGACAAGGACTAGAAGGCAGAAGGGGACAGGAAAGCTAGTGATAGGGAACCCAAGGTTGAGTAAGGATAGTGTTGATGTGTTGTGAGGTTGTTAACCATTGTCATAGGGCAACATGTGTACTAACTCTTTAATGAGAAACTATTTTGTTCTGTAAGCCTTCATCTACAGTGAGAATAGCAGCACAATTGGAAGAGCGTAGTCGATGTCACTGAACTGTGCATGTAGAAATTTTTGAAATGGTGTATCTTTGGCTATGTATATTTTCACCAAAAAAAAGGTTGAGAAGGGAGAGGGCTAACATGTCGTGGGGTTGTTAATCAAGGTCATAAAACAATATGTGTACTACTGTTTCATGAGAAACTATTTGTGCTGTAAACCTTCACCTGAAGTACAATTAAAAAAAAAAAAAATGATGAAAAAAGTAAAAAAATAAACTTACTCTTTTCAATGAGCTGGTCCTGAACTCCTGCCAATGCACTTACTGCCTAAAAGAAAAAGTCACAGTTACTAGAAAAATTACCACAGACCTCAGGTGATCATCACTCACAGCCTCACAGCAAGGGAGGAAGGAGAAGAGAAAACTCACAGAAACTGAACTGAGGTCTTCCTCAACAATGGGCCACAAAAAGATGCACCCCCACCTCACTTACAGCTGCTGAAGTAACGGACGATTTACTGAAGAGCCGCTCAGCTTCCTTAAACTTTCGGTTCCTTCGATCGTTCTTGCTATTGGAGTTTCTAAAACACACAGAAGAAACTCATCTTAAGTACCAAGCAATGTCTATGGTTCAAGCTGGGGATGCGCGAGGACAGGTGTAAGGGACTCTTTTTTTGCCATGTTTCATAAAGCAATTAAGGGCCACTCATATGGAAGAATTATCTTCATGTAGATTTGTTTCTTAGAGTAACATAAAACATTGAGTTCATTTGTTTTCAAAATTAAAAACAAGAAATACGAAAATGTATTTAATAAATAATTATAAAAAATATACATCATTTAACAGAAGGGAAAGAGAAAGAGGGAGAAGGAATAAAGGAGAAGAGGGAAGAACAGCAGGGAAAAGAAAAGGAGATTTAAAAAGACAAAGAATACAGATGAAGATTAAGCAAAAACAAACTGGGAAAGAAACATAAAACATTTAAAACAAAGAAACAGATAACAGATTTATAAAGAAGGCAATACACACATAAGTATGGACAGCCTGCCAACTGGGAGAGACACAACATACAGACTCGCAGATACCTAGAGGAATGGACACGTACAGACACACTTACATGCTCACAGGCGAGAGACAAGACAACCAAGTGATACTCAGGCATACTCCTAGAATTGGAGGAGTATGGAAGACTCAGACAAACAAAGAAGGAGGACAGAATACAAAGGCAGACAACAAACATAAAAGGTAGGGGAGTGGGCTGTACAGAAGCAAACAGATCTATACCTACATCAGGACAAAGAAACAGCTGTATTCCCTTCCCCCCACTCCAAGCAAGGAAAAAAAGAAACAAAGTTAGGGTGAGGTGTGGCTGAGAAGTAATAAACTAAACACACTGACATGAATGAATGAAACAGGTAGGGGGTAGCTGGACTTGTGTACACATGGTCCTCTCAGAAAGCAAATCACATAAGAAGGGAAGAGAAAGTGAGTATTAGGCAGAAAAACAAGAAGAACTAGAAAGGCTCAGAAATGTTAACTGTGGTTAACTCTTCACCATCCTACCTTGCATTTGTCACTAATTGTCTCCAACAGCTCAAGCCTATATTCTTAACTCTTTAATGGCCGGCCCTATTCTGAATGGAATGAAACAGATTACTAGCATGGAGTTTATTTACATAAGCAAAGGAGGATCTTGCAGACCCAAATCAAGCTTTACTCTAGGAATCAATAGTTATGAGTTAAACTTGAGGAGCTGAGGCTAAAATAAACATTGTATTTCTACTATATGTTTGTCCTCAGTCATCGCCAAACATGACAAAATCTAAATGACAACCAGCACTATGGTCCCTAGGAGGAGCCCTGGTGGCACAACAGTTAAGCGCTCAGCTGCTAACTGAAAGGTTGGTAGTTTGAACCCACCAATTAGCTCTGCAAGACAGAGACCTGGTGATCTGCTCCTGTAAAGATTACAACCTAGAAAACCCTATGGGGAAGTTCCACTCTGTCACATGAGGTCACTGTGAGCTGAAAATCGACTCAATGGCACCCAAAAACAACATGGTCCCTAGAGGAAGCTGTGTAGTATAATTTAGATAAAATAGGGAACTAGGAGTTAGGAGACTTGGGTTGTTGTTGTTAGATGCCATTGAGTTGATTTTGGCTCATATCTTGGATGCTATTCCGAAATTCACAAGTACCTAGCTGTGTCTCCATATAATACCATTCAGCTTCTCTGGGCCTCAAGTTTCCTTATCCGGAACAGATTAGGAATAGTATTAGTCACCACAATTTTGTACTGTGTGCTGGAATTTGTGTTAATTTATATACACTGTTTCAGATTTCTTACAACAATCTAAGAATATAGGTGGTATTATTCCCATTTCACAAATAAGGAAAATGGCTTAGCAAGGTTAAGTAACCCGCCCAAGTTCACAGCTAGTTTAAAGTGGTACAAAATCTGTGCAATCAAACTCACACTAGGTCCTCCCAGCTCTAAAATTCTACGATTTCTCTCTGAAATGCTGACATTTATTGAACCGGAATATGACCTCACTTGAAAAATCATAACTATCACAGACAAAGAAGTTTGGTGAGTTTCAGCTGTTGATCATTAAAGAATCCATCAGACTCTGGCATCCAGTGGTTGAATATGATAGAAATGATTTTGTGTAAGGAGTGGAGCATCGCTTCATGTTTGGGAAAAAAATAACCAAAAGGGAGGCTATATTGTAACAAACAGGGGAATTAATGAGGATTTACCACTTGGCTTGCCCAAAACATTCTTTATGCTGAATGCCTACATAGATGGCAACGTTTTCCAAAGTGTGGTATGTGCTCTACTGCAGGACATGAGATCATTCTGGTTCACAAACACTTTTATTGTAATATGTATTGATTTTAATGCTTATTATTAAAAACGACTGAACAAACTAGTGGCATGCTATTATCTCTGTTAAATAAACTTACTTTTAAAAATTTAAAGGAAAAACTAGGGTTCTTCAGAGAAATGGCTCATACAGGTCTGGGGCAGGAAAAGGACAAGGTGAGCCTGAGACATCTTTTTGGGCCAGAAAGCAAAAAAGTGCTCAAAGACTAATAGGGTCATGTCAAATGGACAGAGGAACCACCCTGAAAATGCTCCTTCTGGCCACATTTGGGACAAACTAAACATTAAAAAGAATACTGATGGATGTGTTCACTCTGTGAAAAGTCACAGAGCTTATGATTTGTGCATGTCTCTTTGTGTATTTCAAAAATAAGTTTTTCTAAAAAAAAAAAAAGAAATAAGCCTCTAGAAACCTTAAAACAAAAAAAAGAAAAAGTGACAGTAGTAAATCCCAATATGCTGATTTTTAAAAAAATCCAGGAGTGATGCGGCAGACAGAGAGGAGAGAGAAAGAGAACAAATGAAAGGGAGGGAAGATAAAAGTGGAAGGCTCTTCTTTCAGAATACCAGTAAGAAAAGTAAACTAAACCACTGAATAAAAGTTATGAGGGAGCAGTACATTCATTCACACTGTCTAAAAGTATAACCCAAAAAATTATTTGTTAGTTACAGAGGGGAAAATATGACTTTTACATCAGAGATATCAAACAATCAAACTTAGCAGCACCAATAGTGATACAATCTGACATTATGTGCCTCCTAATACAACTGGTGGCTCCATGGTTAAGAGCTCAGCTGCTAACCAAAAGGTCAGCAGATCAAATCCACCAGACACGCCTTGGAAACCCTATGGGGCAGTTCTACTCTGTCCTATAGGGTCACTATGAGTCAGAATCGACTCAATGGCAACGGGTTTTTTTTTTTTTTTTTTTTTAATACAACAAGAGGTACACAACATCACCTATGCAGCATTTTTGTCAAGAATGTTTATGAATCTCTCATGAGGTCACAGTAACAAAAATCTGGAATGTGGGGCATTCTACAAGACAATGTCATAAAAAACAACAACAAAAAAAAAAAGGATTAGAGACTCTCCTAAATTAAAAAAGACTAAAGAGACACAACAATCAAATGGAATGCCTAGACACTGACTGGACCCTGGATCGAAAAAAAGTAAAGCATTCTGGGGACAACTGGTGAAACCTGGCAGCATAGTGGTTAAGCACTACAGCTGCTAATCAAAAGGTCGGCAGTTCGAATCCACCAGCTGCTCCCTGGAAACCCTATGGTTCTACTCTGAGTCGAAATCGACTTGACAACAACGGGTTTGGTGTTTTTTTTTTTTTTTTTTTTTTTGGTGTATTAGATGATACTATTAACATAATGTTAATTTTCTAGGTGAGACAACTGGGGTCAGGTAGGAGAATGTTCTTACTCTTAGGAGGTACATGCTGACATGCTGACATACTTGGGGCAAAGTATCATGACATCTGCATTGAACTTTCAAACGGTTTAGGGAAAAAAATGTAAGGGGGAGGGGGCCGGTGTGACGATCAAGAGGTAGCACAAGGGAGATCTTTGTGGTGATGGAGTAGTTCTGTATCTTGATTGTGCTTGTGGTCACACAAATCTACAGAACTGTACACATACATTATACCAATGTCAATTTCTGGTCTTGATATTGTACTATAGCTGCATAAGACATAACCATTGGGGGAAACTGGGTGAAAAGTACACCAGACCACTCTCTACCATTTTAAAACTTCCTGTGAATCTCTAATTATTTCAAAATATAAAAGTTTTTTTTTAAAGTTATATACAGGTATGTGTTTGGAGCCCTGGTGGCACAGTGGTTAAGAGCTCAGCTGCTAACCAAACATCAGCAGTTCGAATCCACCAGCCGCTCCTCAGAAACCCCATGGGGCAGTTCTATTCTGTCCTATAGGGTCACTATGAGTCGGAATCAACTCAACGGGTTTGGTGTTCTTGGTACAGGTACATGTTTATATATATTACAAAAAGAGAAAAAGCAAATGTGGCAACATGCTAGAATGTAGGTGGAGGACATCAAGTATTTACGTACTATTCTGTCAACTTTTCTGTAGATTTGAAAATTTTCAAAAAGTTTGGAATTTTTTAAAGAATAATATTATTACATAAACAGTGGTACAGTGGGCACACAGGTACAGCAAAAATTGTGAAGGTGGAACTCACGACTGATTAAAATGTGGAAAATACTAATACAGTGCTGCTGTATAAGGCATTTTCACATGTTATATTTCATTTATGCTGCACACAACCCTGTGCCATAGGCTGACTTTCTCTATTTTACGGACGTGGGATTTATCCAAGGTTACTCAGTGAGGCAGTGAGGCCACGCCAGAGTTCAAGTCCAGACCTCTTTCCAGCTACCACTTTATCTCTATCTGCCCACAAAGCTGCTACCAAGAAACATACAGTCCTAAAAACAAATATTACTAGGGCACATTACAGAACACTACAGCTGCTGACACTCACTTCTGGTTGGTCAGATACCGATCCCAGCCACGAATAATATTGCCATACATCTGAGTGTCTTCCAGGTAGCTTCCTTCAAAAGCATAGATCTGTCTTTCCAAGTTTGCCAGTGTTTCCTGGAAGATGAAAAACAGAGAAATGGATAATGCCTTTTAAAACCAAGCATTAAGTCTGACCAAACTGAAATTTTGATATCAGACCTATAAACCTAAGCTCAACTACACTAAAACACCCTTGTGGAGAGAAGTACGATAATGGGGAGGGGCAGACTGTTAAGGACTAAGACAGTCTTGACCCTTTGGGGGTAATGGACCACACTCAGAAGAGAATGGAATACAGAGTCTGTCCCCAGAAAATTGCATACACATGCAAAATTTTGCATATACTTCAGAGGGTCCATGGAACCCCAGGTGTCAAAAACCCCTGCTGAAGCCAAACATGGGCAGCCTCCTCTCCCAGGCACAAAAGGTATCACCATCAGAGAGAGGGAAGGGTGAGCAGCCTTCTAGCGCCAACGCCTCCTCTCCCCGCAGGCTCAGAAAGGCCGCCAGCACTAGGCTGCCGGCACTAGGCTGCCAGTTGCTATGGAAACTGGAAGGGCAGCTTCAGGTGAGATGAGCCTCCCCCATGCCCAAGCCAAAACGCGGGGAGGAGAAGTGTTTTATCCACCAAGGCTCAGGGGACCCTGAATGAATATCACAATTCCCAATTTCCTAGGCTGGGTCTCCTCCCCTCATCTGTCACCTTCTAGACGTTCCCAAATATACCACACCCTTGCCCATCAAAAACCCCATCCAACGGATCTACTGCTAGGCCCCAAAAGGACACACCCCCTACCATCCTCCTAAGGCCAGACTGGGTTCCCTTCCCACATCTACCTCCTACCCCATCCCCCTCAAAGCCCACGGACAAGCCCCAACCAACCACTCAACTGCCCACTGACACGTCGGCCCCCCACTCCTCAAAGATCAAGGGAACGCCCGCCTTCACCCACCCCTCCAAAGACCAGGGACAGCCCGCTCTTACCCCCAAAGCTCACCAACACTCGCCCTTTCTAGAACTCTCACACAACCTCCCCCCGCCCCCGGCGTCTTCCTTCTTCCACGCCCCCCTCCTTCCTCTTCCCCCTCCCCCTCCCCGGCTCCCGCGCCCCGCCCCCGGGCCCGGAGGCCCGGCCCCGGCGCCCAGTTCCAGATCCGCACAACCGGGAAATGGAGCCGCCCGCGAGCCGCGGATTGCGCATCCGGGTCTCAGGCCGCGGGACTCGGCCCGCCGCGCTGCTCCCCGAGAGTAACGGCCTGGCACCGCCGGCCTGGGGCCTGGAGGCGGGGGCAGGCGCGAAGCCTCAACCTGTGCGCCCACGTCCTAGCCCCTCACCGCCAGCTCCTGCTTCCGCTTCACCAGCTCGGCCAGCTCCCGCCGGGTGTCCGGAATCTGCGGCGGCGCCGCCTTGTTGTGCATCGCCATGTTGGGCTGAGGCGGGCGGCGGTGGCGCGAGGCTGGGGGCGGTCCCTGCGCGCCGCGGCTGGCCCGCAAGGGGGCGCCCGCCGCTGCACTGCGCCTGCGCGCGCGATTTCCGGAGCCGCGCTCGGGGCTGCGCGCTGTTCCCGCCCTTTGGCGCTGGCAAACTCAGCTTGGAGGTTTCCAGTGTTTTGGGCTTCTGCTCGTTGTCCTAGCCGCGGTTCTACCTGTCAGTTGACGGCTGGGTTTTAGAGACACCACAGACTCACCGCGTCCCAAACCAAACTTCTTAAGTCTGCTCCTGCGTTCCTCACCTCACTGAATGATTTTCACTGTCCTTACAGTTGCCCAACTCAGAACCTGGATATCATCCCTTCCTTTACTCCCTAATCCCATCCAAAAACCAAGCCCTGTGGACTCGACACCAGAAGAGCTCCCAAATCCATTTACATCTATCGCCTCTGCCACCTCCCTGTTTCATCCAGGCCCTCCCTATTTTCGGCTGCATTATTCCAACAGCCTCCTAATTTCCACTCTTAGCTTCCTTCAATTCATTGTCCGCAGTGAGGCCAGGGTAATCTTCCAAAACCGAATCTGATGTCCTTCTTCCGGTTAAAATCTTCCAATGGCCTCCTGTTACCCTTTTAGAGAGACATGTATGTATAGGGAGCACAAACTGGAGGCAGAACTACCTGGTTCAAAAGCCTACCTCTCCAATCATAAGCTGTGCCACTTTGGGCAAGGAACTAAATTTCACCTGTCTTAGCATCCTCATCTGTAAAATGAAGGTAATAATAGAACATACCTATTACAGTACACCACTCATTTGTCAGTGTGTCATACTGGGGTGGCTTGCTTGTTGCTGTGATGCTGGAAGCTATGCCACTGGTATTTCAAGTACCAGCAGGGCCACCCATGGTGGACAGGTTTCAGTGCAGTTTCCAGACTAAGACAGACTAGAAAGAAGGACCTGACAATCTACTTCTTAAAAAAACTTTGCCATTGAAAACCTTAGGCAAAACATTGTCTGATATAGTTCCAGGAGATGAGCCCCTCAGGTCAGAAGGCACTCAAAATACAATTGGGAAAGAGTTGCCTCCTCAAAGTAGAGTCGACCTTAATGACGTGGATGGAGTAAACCTTTTGGGACTTTCATTTGCTGATGTGTCACGACTCAAAGTAAGAACAGCTGAAAACATCCATTAGTAATTGGAACATGAAATGTACCAAGTATGAATCTAGGAAAATTGCAAGTTGTCAAAACGAAATAGAATGCTTGATGACAGATATCCTAAACATTGGTGAGCTGAAATGGACTGGTATTGACTATTTGGAATCAGACGATCATATGGTCTGCTATGCCAGGAATGACAAATTGAAGAGAAACACCATTGCATTCAGTATCAAAAAAAAATTTTTTTTTCAAAATCTATCCTGAAGTACAACGCTGTCAGAGATAGGATAATATCCATATGCTTTCAAGGAAGACCAGTTAATACAACTATACTCAGATTTAAGCACCAACCACTAATGCCAAAGATGAAGAAACTGAGGATTTTTACCAACTTCGGCAGTCTGAAATTTATCAAACATGCGATCAAGATGCATTGATAATTATTGGTGATTAGAATTTGAAAGATGGAAACAAAGAAGGATCAGTAGTTGGAAAATATGGTCTTGGTGATAGAAATGATGCTGGAGATCAGATGATAGAATTTTGCAAGACCAATGACCCATTCATTGGAAATACCTTTTTCAATAACATAAACGGTAACTATATACATAGATCTCACCGGAGGGAATACACAGGAATCAACTACGTCTATGGAAAGAGATGATGGAAAAGCTCAATATTATCAGTCATGATGGAGGTTAGGGGACAACTACAGAACAGACCATCAATTGCTCCTGTGCAAGTTTAAGTTGAAGCTCAAGAAAATTAAAACAAGTCCACGAGAGCCAAAGTACGACCTTGAGTATATCGCACCTGAGTTTAGAGACCATCTCAAGAATAAATTTGAAGCGTTGAACACTAAGGACCAAAGACCAGACAAATTGTGGGATGACATCAAGGACATCATACATGAAGAAAGCAAAAGGTCATTTAAAAGACAAGAAAGAAAGAAAAGACCAAAACAGATGCCAGAAGAGACTCTGAAACTCGCTCTTGAATGTTGAGTAGCTAAGGTAAGTGGAAGAAATGATGAAGTAAAAGAGCTGAAAAGATTTCAAAGGGCAGCTTGAGAAGACAAAATAAAATATTATAATAAAATGTGCGAAGACGTGGAGTTAGAAAACCAAAAGGGAAAAACATGCTTGGCACTTCTCAAACTGAAAGAACTGAAGTAAAAATTCAAGTCTCAAGTTGCAATATTGAAGGATTCTATGAGCAAAATATTGAACGAAGCAGGAAGCATCAAAAGAAGATGGAAGGAATACACAGAGTTACTGTACCAAAAAGAACTGGTCGACATTCAACCATTTCAGGAGGTAGCATATGATCAAGAACAGATGGTATTGAAGGAAGAAGTCCAAGCTGCACTGAAAGCACTGGCAAAAAACAAGGATCTGGGAACCGACAGAATACAAATTGAGATATTTCACCAAACGGATGCAATCCTGGAAACACTCACTCATCTACGCCAAGAAATTTAAAAGACAGCTACCTGGCCAACTGACTAGAGGAGATCCATATTTATGCTCACTGCAAAGAAAGATGATCCCGCAAAATGCAGAAATTATCAAACAATATCATTAATAGCACACAGAGGTCAAATTTTGCTGAAGATAATTTAAAAATGGATGTAGTAGTATATTGACAGGGAACTGCCAGAAATTCAAGCCAGATTCACAAAAGGAGGTGAAACGAGAGATATCATTGCTGATGTCAGATGGATTGTGGCTGAAAGCAGGGAATATCTGTGTTTTATTTGCTATGCAAAGGTATTCAACTGTGAGGATCATAACAAATTATGGATACCATTGCGAAGAATGGGAATTCCAGAACATGTAATTGTGCACATGTGGAACCTGTACATAGACCAAGAGGCAGTCATTCAAACAGAACAAGGGGATACTGCATAGTTTAAAATCAGGAAAGGTGTGCGTCACGGTTGTGTCCTTTCACCATACTTATTCAGTCTGTATGCTGAGCAAATAATCTGAGAAGCTGGACTATATGAAGACAAATGTGGCAACCAGATTGGGGGAGGACTTAGTAACATCCTTCAATATGCAGAGGACACAGCTTTGCTTGCTGAAAGTGAAGAGGACTTAAGCACTTACTGATGATCAAAGAGTACAGCTTTCAGTATGGATTACACTTCAGCATAAAGAAAACAGAAATCCCCACAACTGGATCAATAAGCAATATCATGATAAATGGGGAAAATATTGAATTTGTCAAGGATTTCATTTTACATGGATCCACAATCAACGCCCATGGAAGCAGCAGTCAAGAAATCAAACACGATTATTCACAATAGCGACAAGATGGAAACAACCTAAGTGCCCATCAACAGATGAATGGGTAAACAAACTATGGTACATACGCACAACGGAATACTATGCAACAGTAAAGAACAATGTTGAATCTGCAAAACATCTCACAACATAGACGAATCTGGAGGGCGTTATGCTGAGTGAAATAAGTCAATCACAAAAGGACAAATACTGTATGAGACCACTATTATAAAAACTCATGAAAAAGTTTACACACGGAAAGAAATAATCTTTGATATTTACTAGGGAGGGGAGTCCTGGGATGAGAAAAACACTAGACAATAGATCAGTGGTAACTTTGGTAAAGAGTTAAGACAGTACACAATTCTGGGGAAGTCAGCACAACTTGACCAAGGCAAGGTCATGGAAACTTCATAGACACATCCAAATTCCCTGAGGGACCGAATTACTGGACTGAAGGCTGGGGGCTATGGTCTCGGGGGATGTCTAGCTCAATTGGCATAACATAGTTTGTAAAGAAAATGTTCTACATTCTACTTTGGTGTGTAGTGTCTGGGGTATTAAAAGCTTGTGAGCGGCCATCTAAGATACTCCACTGGTCTCACCACAGCAGGAGCAAGGGAGAATGAAGAAAACCAAAGACACAAGGGAAAGATTAGTCCAAAGGACTAACAGACTACAACTATCAAATCACAGCCTCCACCAGACTGAGTCCAATACAGCTAGGTGATGCCCAGCTACCACCACTGACTACTCTGGCAGGGATCACAATAGAGGGTCCCAGACAGAGCTGGAGAACAATGTAGAACAAAATTCTAACTCAAAAAAAAAA